AACCCCTAAACCCTCTAAGCCCTCTAAGCCCTCGATCCTTCCGTCAGCTCGCCGCCCATTGCAGGCTAGAAGGTCGCAGGGGGCGCAGCAAGGTTCCGACGACATCTTCAAGGCCCGATTTGGGGCTTGGAGGTTTAGGGTTTAGAGTTTAGGGGTTTAGGTTTGGGGTTTAGGTTTTGGGGTTTAGGCGTTAAGGGTTTGGGGTTTAATTAGGGGTTTAGGGGTGTAGGGTTTAGGGTTACGGGCCCGAGGGGTGCTCTTTCCTTGCAGATCATATGATAGGAGACATAGGCGGGCATAGTATAGGGCTTAAATAATTACCCATACCATCGTGGGGGTTCCTTACTTTTGCAAGTATAGTTTTAGAGGCCCCAAAACCTTTTTCTAATCATGAAGGCCTCGAAACCCTACACCCTTACTAGCCCTTTAAGGAACCCTTTAAAGGAAGCCTTAAACAGAACCCCCAAAACCCTAGTCTAATTATGAAGGCACCTATAGTAGCTTCATGCGCAGGACTCCTGAGCCGGAGCCCGAAATTGAAACTCTCAGGACTTAGATCCTAAAGCCCTAAGGCCTGACTTCGCTAAAGAGCCTCTCAAACAAAAGAAGAAGCCGCTAGCTTTAAAGTTTTTAAAAGGTCTCAAAACTACACCAAAAACACCAAAGTGTCAACTAGCTGTAAGCTCTGTGTAGGCTTGAAAGGTCTCAAGACTCCCTCAAGAGCTCGAAAGTTTCACCTAACTGCAAGCCCCCAAGCTTCAGAAGTGCAGAGCTGAACAGCCTAAGAACCTGAAGCCCTTTGAGGGTTTAGGGTTTAGGGTTTTCACACTGGCGTAGCCAAATTAGAGTTTAGGGTTTAGGGTTCAGGGTTTAGGGTTTAGGGTTTAGGGGGAGGTCTAAATCAAATTGCCGTAGTATCCCTTATCGTCCCTATGTACATGATGCCAACCCCGTCATAAGCACGTGCAGGATGCTCTGCTTGTAATAAGGCCCTTATATTGCAGACATCTTCGAGAACCATTGCCTTGAAAGAAACCCTATTGAAAACTATTTAAACCGTCTTCTCGCTATTAAGAAACCCGAATCGCTAAAACCGTTCCTGCTTTTTACCCCTAAGCGCTATGCCCAACCCTGCCTCGTTAAAAACCAAACCGCGTTTTTTGATTCAAGTCTTGTGCCAGGCCTGGGAGGACACAGAGGGCGATGACCGGCCGATGCCGGCGCCAGCAAATTCAGGCCAGCTCTGCTTCAAAACGGGGCAGAATGATCAGTAATAGTGCTCGGTATGTCCCGATAAACCCTCTTCTCGTTATCAAGGCCCCTGTATGATGGGGTCCTAAACAAGGCCTGAATAGAAATCACATGCCGTTTCACACGACGGGTTGCTTCAGTAGACTCTCAAAACTACACTAAACCCTGCGTGTCAGGCGTGGTACTTTCGGTATGTTCGCGAGTGTTACTTTCAATCTACTACTTCCCGCCTAAGAGTCTCATAGCGTACCTCTAAACTTCCCTAAACAAAGGACGTCACCACCTCCCCCCCCTCACTCCCCCTCCCCCACACCCGCAAGAAAAAGCAAAGAGTAGTTATACCCCCATGTGCATATGCATAATATTGTCTCTCTATCTCTCTCTCTCTCTCCTCTCTCTCTCTCTATGTATATATATATATATATACAAAAGCATGCGTACATATACACACACACACATACACATACATCGGTCCGTCGCTTGTGGGGGTCCAAGCATGCAGACGTGGTGAAGCTCGGAGTTGCTTCGAAGGCCATGACGACCACTTTGCGGATGAGGACGACGATGATGATGACGATGAACAGGACTGGGGATTTCGGGGGTCTAGGAACCTGGGTGTGTCTTGGCTGTGGGCCCAGGGCGCATCTGTGCAGTTCCCACGGTTGGAGTGCGAAGCTACCAGCAGCGCAGGACCGCCACGTCATGGAGACCAGCCTCGACGAGGAGGACCACGTATCTGTTTGGACAACGTTTTGATAAGTACCTGCCTATACTTTAAGCTATGTTCACTTATTGAAGCCCTTGTCAACTCGACCTGCTACTGCATCGACCCTGTTCCGGTTGTGATCTTTAGGACATCTGAAAGTCTTGCTAGGACCAGTGCTGTTCTTCCTAGACTTTGCTCGTCATGCGGACTGGAGGAAGAACATAGAGACCGGAGCACTTTGTCATGATGCCCCCTTTCAGTCCCCTATGGATTTCTGCAATGCTACTGCGTGAAGGCTCCTATATTCGCTCCCGTCAGGAGGAGGATGAGGTGCCTCCCCTGCCGAACATGCCCGGCATCGCGAGACAAAAACTAGGCAGACTGGCAGTATCTTGTGAGTAGTTGGGTTCTACTAAGGGTGAGTCTAGTGTAGCTCGCGTCGCGTGTAGTGCCAATAGTCGTGCTGGTGGGATTTAGTCCTAGTGCTGTCCTGGCAATAAATTTTAATAGTGTTTGTGGTGGCAGTTGTGGTGATCTGGGGGCGGCGATGATCTGTGTAGTTGGCAGTGTGAGTGGGAGTGGGACTGGCAGGGATAGTGGTTGTAGTAGTAGTAGAAGTAGAAGTAGAGTGGTCATTGCAGTGGTAGAAGTAGGGGTAGAAGTAAACGCAGGAAGTAGTAGTAGTAGTAGTAGTAGTAGTAGTAGTAGTAGTTGTAGTAGTTGTAGTAGAAGGAGTAGTAATCGTCGTCGTCGTCGTCGTAGTAGTAGTACTAGTTGTTGTTGTTGTTGTTGTTGTTGTTGTTGTTGTTGTTGTTGTTGCTGCTGTTGTTGTTGTTGTTGTTGTTGTTGTTGTTGTTGTTGTTGTTGTTGTTGTAGAAGGAGTAGTAATCGTAGTCGTAGTAGTATCAGTAGTAGTAGTAGTAGTAGTAGTAGTAGTAGTAGTAGCTGTAGCACTAGCAGTAGCAGTAGCAGTAGTAGTAGTAGTAGTAGTAGTAGTAGTAGTAGCAGCAGAATTAACGGTAGCAGTAGCAGTAGTAATAGCTGCAGGCGGTGCAGAAGCAGCAGCATACGATGCTACGTTAGCAGCAATAGTTTTCTACTGCTGCGTGGTTGCGTTATATTGTGTTTGTGTTTTTGGTGCATTCGTATGCGCATTACAGTCATATGTCTATTCCTCTTCTTAGTGGTAATTAGTCGTCGATGTCGTCGTCGTCGTCGTAACGGCTGCATCCAGTGGATTCTGGGCTTCCAAAGCTATAAGGGGGTCATGCTTGGCTTCTTATGGTAATTCATTTCAAGTTTCTCAACAGGGACCAAGTCTGAGCTAATCCCAGACATGACCCGAGTATCCTGCGCCAGAGACGAGCCCTGAGCCTTGTAGAACAGGGGAGGTTCTGAGCATTGGTGGTGCCTTTTTGCAAGAGGGGAATGTTTAGGGTCTATCTTGGGCTCCCTTGTTGTCTGAGACTCGGACCTGGATCTTGCAGGCTCCTCCGTCTTAGATGACAGCACTACGAGCGTTACGAGCTTGTCTCAGGTGCACTGGGTGTGTAAGTCGGATGTTTGCCAACAAAAGAGCCTGCCTACCCCAAAAGCAGGAGCCCGCCCCAAACCCACTTCTACTCTGCATGTTGTCCGTACTAGAAGCAGATCCCGCTTCTACATTCTAGACCCATCTCTGTCTGTAGCCTACAGCGATGTTGAATTATTCAAGAAGCTTCGACTGGTGCGTGGGTTTTCTGGCCTTGGTCATGTTAGACATACTAATCAGTACTCGTCGTACAGAGTGGATATGTTGCCCCTTTGAGGTTGATGTGAGTAAGCAGCAGATTGACCCTGCATCGTAGGTTCGTCCTAGCCAGGCGGGAGGCAAAAAAAAAGGTACTCGTGCACAAAAAGACTGCGTGCAATTCAGGCCATACTGGCCACAGCAGCAGCAAGGAGCATAGGAAGTGCATCATGAAGATATGTTGCCAATGCGGTTTTCATCACGTGATAGTCAACCTCCCAAAATGAGCCATCAACCCACGTGCTACAGACCCTTTCATAGCTGTGCCCCCCAATCCTTCAACCAGAAATGTGACAAATGAGAGTGATAAGAACCAAGACAGTACCTCAAGCTGCAACCCTGCACCGTGGCCTCTGATAATACCATGCAGAACGAGGCCATCGGGAAATCCCGCAAACCGCACAAGAGCACGTAGCATTCCCAGCTGACCGAGGAACCAGGCCTGTTGCATCCTCAGGCTCCCAGGACCCCACGCCGCATGAGCCCGAAATGCGCGCTCTCTGGCAGAAATTTCTCCAGCAGGAAAAGTGCAAGCAAGGCGGAACCGCGAGTCGCACCAAAAATGTGCACGGGCAATGTTGCGAGAGCACGATTTCGCGAGGCGTAGATGCGCAGGAATGTGACAGGAAGAGGAATCGCACCTCACAGTCACAAGAAGCCAAAGCATGCACGTGGCTCCGCGATTGTCAATTCTTGCGAATGTTGAAGTTTTGTAAGAGTTGGCGAACCACCGCAGGAGCTGCAGAACCACCGGGGCACGCCTTGCTCAGACAGCGAGCCGAACTCCTCAACAGCCCCTGAACCGAGTCGCAAAAAGCCTGGCTAGGGCGACTCGCTGCTACACAATGAGGCCATCCTGAGTTTGAGCATCCTTAGGGTTAGGAACTTGTCTTCGGCTTCACGCTTTAGAAGTGTTTAGACTTTGAGTTGTGTATAGGGTTTAGGCCTTCTGGGAAACTTCATTGGATCGTTCTCTTTGAGCTTGCTGGTGTGTCGAACAGGGTTCATCCGCAAGGTTTGCAGATGTACATTGCGAGGCTTGGATTTCGATTGCACACTTATATGACGACCCCTGCAGCAAAGCGCTCAACTGTCTGCAAAATCATAACATCCCCCTTAGACTCCCGTTCGAATTACTACAGCCCCTATAACCTGCTATCCTGCAAACCCCCGGGCAACACGCCAGCCCACGGGAGGCCAACAGACGGAGAGTGGCCATTGAATCGCACTTCATCATGGTCGTCGACACCTCGGGTTCGATGAGCGACTCGTGGCCTTGAGATCCAGGTGGGGCTGGAACAAATTTGAAGAGGCCTCTGGGGGTATATAGTGGTCTAGCTACAATCAGAAACCCTAGGGATTAGAGTTGGTTTCTATATTAGAGCTTCTTGGCTCCAGTGTGTAAGGGGTGAAGGCGCCGCACACACGGTCGGTCTAGGGTTTCGTGATGATAGAGGTCGAACGGCTCTGGCTAGTCTTCAAGTCCGGTGGCGAAAACGGTTTAGGGCAGTTTAGGGGCTATGGCGCTCACCCACACGGCACTGAATATGTAAGCCTAGCCTACGACTCCTGGCACCAGGGCACGCTTAAGCAATATTCTGTAGATTGTAGACAACTGAAAACACTTTGGGTTCCGGGATCCAGACTGGTGACTATGCCGTTACCCTAAGGTCCACACGTCAGTCAAGACTGAAGGGGACTCAGTAAGTAGGGTCATAAGTAAGGTAACTAGTTACACGACTTATACCCACTTCTCACCCGAATTAAGATATGTAGAACCCCCACTTGCTAAGTGCCATGATCCCTAAACCCTAAACCCTAAACCCAGGTGTGGTTTCAGGATCAACACCTCTGAATTCTCAGATAAGGAAGGCACGGCTAGAGCCGGCCATAGCACACATTCTTTTGGTGATGGGCATTACACGGATCGGTAGCCCTAGCCAGTCGGCCATAGCCGGGCTTCTTTCTATGCGCGAATAAGCTGAGTTATTCTCCTTATAACTTTCAGCCGAGGTTCTTAGGTTCCTGGCTCCTGAAGTATACCCTGCACCCCAAAGTCTAAACTCATAAAATCTGAACCCTCGTAATACCACTCTTATACCATATCTTCTCTCCTCCCTAAACCCTCATTCCTAAACCCTAAACCCTAAACCCTAAACCCTAAACCCTAAACCCTAAACCCTAAACCACGTTCCCTTGCAGCCGCCCGTGAGTGTAGAGCTCAGGAGATGGATTGCCAGCAGAACGGGGCGTCAGACCAAAAGTGCAGCCTGCCCCCGGAAGCTGCTGTTAGGGCTTAGGGTTTAGGGTTTAGGGTTTAGGGTTTAGGGTTTAGGGTTTAGGGTTTAGGGTTAGGATTACTGTCTTGTTTAGGGTTTAGGGGTTTTAGGGTTTGGGCTTAGGGTTACTGTCTTGTTTAGGGTTTAGGGTTTAGGGTTTGGGCTTAGGGTTACTGTCTTGTTTATGGTTTAGGGGTTTTAGGGTTTGGGGTTAGGGTTACTGTCTTGTTTAGGGTTTAGGGGTTTTAGGGTTTGGGCTTAGGGTTACTGTCTTGTTTAAGGTTTTCGGGTTTTTAGGGTTTGGGGTTACGGTCTTGCTGACTGTTTCTTATGGCAGAAGCCATGAAGTTGGAAGAATATCATCCTCTTGCCCTTTGGGTTCCAACTTTCTATGATTCACCTATAGAGGGGTTTTTGCCAGAGGCTTTCTGGAAGGGGTTCTATGCCGACGTGGGTTCTGCAAGGGTGTTTAGGGGGTTTGGGGTGTCCAGGCCATCGGCCGAATTTGTGGCCCACATCCTGAATCCGAAGTTTAGGGTTTGGGTTTAGGGTTTAGGGTCTAGGGTTTAGGATTAAGGGTTAAGGGCTTGTATGTAATCTTCATGAGCCACCACCCTAGCTCTAAACCCCAAACCCGCGGCATGCGTAAGGCTTCGTCGTCCCCCAAACCTTATTTGGAGGATCATGGGACTTAGGAGTAAGTAGTGCATTGCAGTCCCTGCTCAAAACAAGGGGTTTTAACCTGGCATAACTGTGGGTACTTTGCTTGATGATCCTGCATCCTACAGTAAGTCCCCTTTAAGTATGGCTTGTGTAAGTCCTTAGTCAAGGGTTTATTCCAAAGCGGCCCCAAAACCCTAAACCCTAAACTGTGTTTAGGAATTAGGGTTCAGGGGTTCTTGTTTCGGCACGTTTCGGGCCTTGGGGTTGCGACAAAGCCGAACATAGAAGCAGTGGTAATACTACTCCTTAGGTTTACTTATTATACTTTTTGGTATGATATACTACACCCCAAACCTATTCTAGCCAGTAAGACCCTTAGACCGCATCCATAAAGAGGGACTCCTCCATGAAACACCCGACATGTGGACCAACTTCACGAATGTCGATATCACGGATGCCGGGAGCTTGAATATTTCGCATGAAACTTGCTTTCAGTTTGGGGAAAAGGGATGGTTATATGTGGTCGGATGTAGTTATTTTCTACATGTGTGCATATAAAAACATGCATGTGTGTGTATGTACATAGTGCATGTGTACATATGTAGATATAGGTAGATATACGTATGTGTGTGTGTGTGTGTTTATACACGTACATGCATACATGCATCCATGCAGGCAGGCATTTAGAGGGAGAGAGAGAGAGAGAGAGACAGAAACAGAGACCGAGAGGGAGATAGCTATGTCTTTGCTCACTGTCCGTTAAAATAAGCTTCTGAACAAGAACCCAGCATTCCCCCGATCTCAGGTACAATTACGCGAATTCAGGCGGTCTTCAACGAGGTGAAGCAGCTCGCGTCCACAGCTCTTTGGCTAGCAGCACTAGCAAGGTAGCGGATGTGGAAAAGAGGAATCCGAATATATGATACGGACCCCGTCCTCCTCACAAAAGGGAACTTAAACTTGGCGTTCTTCTGCTTGGCTCTTAGGACTTTAACTTTTGGGTTTCTATATGAACTATAACAGGTAGGGTAAAAGTTTAACTTTCAGGATGGGGTTCAGAAGCCAAGTAAACTCTGTTGATCTTTCTGTATGATGCAAGGGGTGAGAAACTGGATGCATACGCTTTGAAGACCATCGGTTCAACGTGCCGCCGCATTTCTCGGACGACTGCAGGAGACCAATGACTGTGGTAGAAGTAGTGATAACAAGACTTTGTGCTATCGGCAAGCGAGCAGTATTCTGGCGACCCATAAGAATGGCGATGCTAGTCATCGGGGTGCAGGTTAGTGTTTCTGCTACAGAGACGGTTTTGAGGCTGTGGAGGGGCATTGTTCAGTCGTGCTGTCTCCAAAACCCAAAACCCAAGCTTGGACCATTCAGGAGAATGCCCGCACTGGGGTCAGTGACAAAATGAGTCTCATCACTTTCAGCGATGCGGCAGAGATCAAGTTTCAGGCCAGGATGATGTGTGGCAAGGTTCAGTTAGATTGCAGATTCTGTAGACACGAGCATCATAATAGTTTCTTGTTCGGATCTCGAGGTTCGTATGAAGACAGGGTGCAACTTCTGCACAGGGTTTGGAAGCGTCGAAGATGTTGTCTCTTTGAATTTGCTTCACGTCGTTCGAGACTCCGGTGTGGGATAAGCTGTCAGAGGGCCCAAAAGATGAAATGCAGCCGGGTTCGATTCATCTACTTGGAAGCCTACCAAAGCACCGACTGGTTTCAGTTGGAGTACTACTCTGTTGGGTGCTGCTTAGGTCAGGTTTTCGGTCACATCGCCTGTTTCCTTAATCTCTCGATGCTTAACTCCAGTCCTCGTCTAGAATCCAATCGCGCAGGCTTAGTCAGAAGCAAACCTCCTGAAATCCCGGACGGTGACGCCGCAAGTCGGGCAGCTCTCGCTGTGGGCCCGCGCGGTGTGAAGACCTCCGCATTCTGCAAAATACCAACACCCACGTGCCCAGTGCTCGCACCATCAGCTGCCTTCGAGCCCGAACCCCTGAAGCACATAAAAGTCTAGAAGGGTGCCCGACACCTCGCAAGCTGTAGCTCTTGTTGTCATTCGGGTGTTTAAGAACAGCCGGAGCGTGGAGCCTTAATTACAAGACGCCTCCGGACAATTACACAAGACTGAACTGCCTAAAGGTCTCTCCTCGTCTAAACCCTAAACCCTAAACCCCTAAACTCCTAAACTCCTAAAGCCCCAAACCCTAAACCCCTAAACCCTAAGCCCTAAATCCGAAGACCTCACCCCTAAGCCCTTTGGGTCTACGGCTCATGAGCTCTGGGTGCCTCCGGAGGAGACGTCACTCGAGGTCGCGCAAAAGCATTTGGCCAAGATGGGGGTGCCTTGGTCTTTTCGGGTTTTAGGGTTTTAGGCTTTAGGTTTAGGGTTTCGGGTTTAGAGTTTAGGGTTTTAGGCTTTAGTATTAGGTTTAGGGCTTTAGGGTTTAGGGTTTAGGGTTTTAGGGGTTAGGGCTTTAGGGTTTAGAGTTTTAGGGGTTAGGGCTTTAGGGTTTAGGGTTTGGGGCCCCGGGGGATGTTCGGAGCTTAGAGGGTCCATACTTTTGCAACCTCGTGGTGCATCTTCTGATGGCTTTGTCGAAACCCTAAACCCTAAACCCTAAACCCTAAACCCTAAATCCTAAACCCTAAACTCTAAACCCTAAACCCTAAATTTAGGGTTTAGGGTTTAGGCTTAGGGGTCATTGTGGGGGGCGACTCTTAGATGGTCTGTAACTTTGCAACCTTGTGGTGCATCTTCTTGTGGCTTTGTAGGCCTTCTGAGAGTGGTGGAGCCTTCCCAAGCTTACAGCCCTGCTGCAAGGGTACTACCGGAGTCTAAATAGTTACCAATACTATTTCGGGGTTCCCTATTATAGTTATAGTATAGCATAATTACCCAAAGACTCGATTCTAATTTTTCAGGCTTCTACATTCGTCCGCGGTTTAGGGCTTAGTACAGGGAATTTAAGGAATCTTCCCGGAAAGAGGTCCTCTACGTCTCTATGTCTTCCTTGCCCCAATCAGAGCCGCCATTGCAAGTGAGCTTAGATTTTAGAGCTTAAGGTTTTGACTTTCCGGTAGCGACTGTCTGAGCAGCTCGAGATTGAAGACTCTGGCATATCTTGTCCTTGTCTGGTATCGAAAGGTCCGAGTGACCCCAACGCCTAAGCTTACTGACTTACTATCCCATGGTCGTTCAACTCTGATGATGCTGAGGTTCCCAAACCATGGGGCCAGACCTACTACGCCAAGGGTCGCTCGGATGGTTTTGGCCGAAAGCCTTGCAAGGAACCCAGGAAACTCAATGGAACAGATGAAGGTGAACAAGAACAAGGAATTCGAATCCTTTTGAAAGCAAACTTCTGCGCCCTCCATGCAGGTTACTGTTAACATCTGTCTGATATTGCAAGCTTGACCATTTGCCTACATCTGGCTTGTTGTATCAAGTGTATCATTACCGCAGATTGTCACCTTGTGACACCCCTAAAATCATCACGAGAACCTTACGACATCCTGTATAAAGCCCTGATCCCAAACACTTTGTCTTTTTTCGATTTATTTATTCATGAAAACCTTTCCGGAGCCCCAGAACTACAACCATTCCTGCCTCAAGTCTTGAACTCGGAGGACATGGGACTTAGTAGGCAGGGATATAAATAAGGTAGCTATGGTTGTATCTTCTTATAACCCTACTTATGGTACTTATAACCTTACTTACTGAGTCCCCGGATCCTTTAAGAAGCTTCCAGACCCTCACGCTTCCTAGCGGACCTGGTCTATCAACGTAGGAGGCAATGAAAACTCCAAACCCCTGAACCCCAAATCCTAAACCCAAACCCGAAGCCCTAAACCCTAAAAACCTAAACCCTAAACCCTAAACCCAAACCCCAAGCCCAAAACCCTAAACTCTTTCTGAACTAGCCCTTGCGAAGTACGAGGCAACAGACACATAGGCACAGGGATACCTAAACTCCTGGTCCTAAACCTTACCTAAAGCTTGAAGCCATGGTCGGCCAACCCCCAGTTTAAGGTATATTCCCTAAAGGAACCCTATCATAGTACCCTTAGCCCTTACAGGAACCCTGTTATACTACTTTTATGCCTCTCATAAGTACCCTACGTACCCTTCAAGGATCCCTATCATAGTATATTCCTGAAATTAAGGGGTATTGGGATCTCTGGGAAGTTTAAGGAGTAAGGAAACCATAACTATACCCACATAGAACTCTAATGAAGGTACTTAAAACCCTACTAACAGTAGTAATACCTGAGTTGATGGTCATAGTACCCTTATACGTACCATTAAAGGAACCCTATCATAGTATATTCCTTGAATTATGGGCTATTGGGAGTAATGCCTTAATTGAGGGGTATCGGGATCTCTGGCTTCCTCCCTTCAGCCCTTAACCCTAAACCCCAAACCCCAAACCCTATATCTTTAACCCTTAACCCTAATTCCTTTAACCCTTAACCCTAATCCCTTCAACCCTTAACCCTCGCCGGTCGGAAGGCCTCCGCGCAGCGGCGCAGTGCGCGCGAGCGGATCAGAAGAAGCGGCCCATCGATGCTCGCGGCTTAGGAGGGTGTTGAGGGTTTAGGGGTCTGCCCATCGGCCCCATAGTAGTTCCTTTTTGGGGTTCATATATAGAATCCTTTAAGGTAATCCCAAAAAGGAACTACTATGGGGCCTATGGGTGGGGTTTGGGGGTCTGGGGTTTGGGTTTGAGGGTTGTGAGGCTTCTCGGAAGCTCCAGGCTGTTCCGGTTTCGGGTTGGGATTTTGGATGTGGTCTCCAGTCTCTGGCCCCTATCATACCCTTACAGTACGCGTGCAAGTAACCTTTGAACCCAGTATAGTACGCCGTATAGTAGGTTTTTCAAGGAACCTAGTAACCCTGTATAGTATCCCAAGCCCTAACCCCGAAACCCTAAACCGCACAACCCTAAACCCTAAACCTTAAACCCTACTATAGTATCCCAGACCCTATAACCCCTAAACCCAAAACCGTACAACCCTAAACCCTAAACCTTAAACCCTATAGTATCCCAAACCCTATAACCCCTAAACCCAAAACCGTATAGTAACCTTTTGAAGGGCTCGGTCTGAGGTTTTGTGGTTTCTCCCGCGTTTCTGGGGACGTGGGGATCTCCGGATTCAGGGTTTGAGGTTTAGGGTTCGGGGTCTGGGCAAAAAGGTTTAGTTTCGCGCTTAGGGTTAGGGTTTAGGCAAAAAGGTTTCGGGTTTAGGGTTAGGGTTTAGGCGAAAGGGCTGTGCGGGATTGTGCAGTCATGAGTGCTGCACTGCTTCACGGCGACGG